GAACCCACTTCATTGTCACGGCACTGCATAATGATAAACCTCATTTTTTCCACCTTCTGTTGCGTTGTCTCTATTTTTCCGGTTTTCTGTAGAATAAAAGCCGTACTTCCACAAATCCACAAAAGTTATTCGTAAATCTCTGCAATGTAAATGGAGACTTCGTTTCCAAGATTCTCGAATGCCAGTTCGTGTTGGTTGTACAAACTGCATTTTCGCTGTTTGTATGATCCCCTGGTGAACTCCTGGGCCACCGTCTTTTCTTCATAGTTGTTTTTCTTTCTTCAAGGTCAACGAAAACGTCCAAAAATTATACCGATTACCTAACTATTGTACCGAATACATTTATGACAAGAACATATGGATTATTAAGTTTTCGGGAAGCCCCAAATTCCGGCTTGTGGTTCATCGAGATTTTCAACACTTCGATACATCTTGATTCTGCTGGGGTAACATACTTAGCAACAATATTGGGTTACGTAATGGATATAACGAAAGCAACCGACATTGAAGAAAAGGAGGTTGTTTGTTTGGGATCATCAGGGACCATACAAAAAACTGAATGCGATTTGTAGAAGTTCTTGTTCCCTTTGATACTGGTTATGGTGAAGGATGACAAAAACTTGAGAAGGGATGCATAGTGAAATCCAGAACTCTGCAACTTTAGATTATAAAGCTTTCTTCTAAGCTGCAATCTTCTCCTTACAAGGGAATGGTCAGAATTCGAAGTGGCCAAACCAAACAAGCTGTATATCATTCGATGCAGTATAAAACGCTGACTTCGAATCTGTCCTCCTTATCTGCTTCCCGCTTCTGTGGACGAAGCTACAAGCGGTTTTATTGTGAAAAAATCATAAAAACAGCTAAATTGAGCACATTGTTGCACTTTTAGCTCAGCTTCTGGCTTAAAAAATTTTAAGTAAGCTAGCTGCATGTTGTGGCCCAGCACTGAGGCGAACGAGGCTCTGTACGGCTAAATTTTCAATTTCACGCATAATTTCTAAGCAAAATAATGGTCTTTAATGGCTTATAACTTCGTCCAGAAAAGCGATAAGCAGATTAAGAAGACAGATTTAGAGTCAGCGCTTCATGCTGCATCTAACGCTACGCAGCTTGTCTGGAATGGCCACTTCGATATCTGAGCATTCCCTTGTTAGCGGCAATATAGATGCATGCGGCCCTTAATTACCAGCACGTTAGCTCAACCTGAAAATAGAAGGGGAACAGTTGCAAAACATTAAAAATTACCTTACATTCACGGCTTTGCTAATGGCTAAGTTCAAAATGAGAGCGCTCTTTCAGCGACTGAGAAAATCAGTAACAGTGAAATAAGAAACATCATCTTGTAAATCGCAAAAAAAGACTTAACATGGTTAGAATGTGTGTGAAAGTTTTGGTTCTACTAGCCAACAGTATGACATTAATTTGTAGCGAATGCAAAGTATTATGTTTGGACTCCTTCCCGAAAAAAAGATATAATGAAGATTGAAAGAATTCAGCACACTTTTACCCGCCTGGTCTTTCGTCGTGCGAGTGGTGGAACACTAGTTGATATTCCAGACTGTCATCTACGCTCTAATAAATTGGGCTTGACTCCTCTCAGAATTAGACGCATGATATCCGACCTCGTCTTTTGTTTTCGTATTCTTCGCATGGAAATAAAATTAAAAGCAAGCAAATTTTGGATCTTCAAACCTGCTGGTACGAGGCTAGGTGGTTTCAATCTGCATTATAAACCTATCAAGCAACATCAGTCTGGAATATTCAACTACCCGTTCTTCCGCTGTGCAAGATGGCTTCAGCGCTTACCCGTTGATATTGTGTCAGTGCGCTGCGGTGAAGCCTCAAGAAAAAATTAAGAAAAGCTGATTTGTCTCAACTTTTGAGCAATGATACTTCTTCTTGATTGCGTTGCGTTTCTAATATTTGTGTTCAGATTCTTTTAGGGTTTAGGTCTTTAGGGCTTATGGTTGTTATGGTTCTCCCACGGTTTGGTTCTGAGGCTTGATCTTCTTTGCACTTCTTTTTTCCTTCTTTTTCTTCTATTTTATTTTTCATCTCTCAATTGTCTTCTTTTTAGATTCTCGCTCTTGTCCATGCGGTTCACTATCTTTTTCGTATGACGGTTTCATGGCGCGCGACTCTACCTGTCTCATGTTGACCCTTACTCTGGGCTGATTGTGGTCGAGGGATGCGGAACGAATGCTTTGTTGGACTGTAGTTTATGTTAGATCAGACTCTACCACTTCATTGGACCTTGGCTCAAATTATTGCCGTTCTCTGTTTGGTTTTCTTCTAACACTTTCATGCCTCACGCGTTAGTTTGGGTCTGGTTCCGTCTTATCACCTCGTTATGCTTGGGCTAGCTTGTTTGGGCTTCAGACTTTTGCATTGTGCAACTTCTATCGGAGTTCTGTTCTCTCCCCAAAGTTTTGATTGGGCGGGTTTTATCAATATTACTACTACCAATACACCTGCTTCCAACATATACAATTGCTTATGTTGAGTAAGAGCATTTTTTGCTAAGAGCAGGGGCATGAAACAGATTCCATTGAACCTCTATACCTGTGATGACTTCATATATGTCTAAACAAGCTCACTCCCTTTCCATTCCCAGAAAGGTTTTGCGGACTGGACTTGAACTGATTCAGTGGGGAGTTTGCCTTTTTGTTTTATTTTTTTTTGTTGTTGGTTGTTTGGTGTAATGCTTCGTTCTTCTGTTGTATGGGCGCGCCTTGTGCGTATTAAAAAAATAAATAAATAAATAATGTAGAAACGTTAGTCAACAGTTAGTTTCCAGCGGACAAATTTGCAAGAGGAATCCAAGAGGAATTTATATTATATTACTACAGCAATTGGATTATGAGTAAATTTCGATAGCAGTTTTGTTAGCATTTTTACGAAATAACATTTTTTTGATTTTCAATTGCAAAATTTGATCTCATGAAATTTTTCATAGCGTGAATTCAGACAAATAAACTATTAGTACCCTTATTTTGAATCGTAACTATTCTTTCATGCAATTAATCGCTCAAACACCACAAAAGTCTTAAGCTTTACTGTTTTTTGTTTGAAATGTCCTCCGATAGCACGTAAATCAGTTTTGATGGCATTTCATAAAATGACATTTTGAATCTGGAATATTCCAAATATTGACATTGTATTTTTCTACAGAATGAATTCAATTGAGAAGAACCATTTGATGCTCGAAATTCAAGTTGTAATTTACTCTTAGATCATTGCAGGTTTGCAAGAACTTACAACGGAAGCGTGTGTAGTCAAAGTGGCCTTTCCAGATGAGGACCATACTGCTTTGAAGAGCATTGAGCGGTGATCGTCTGCGTAATCAAAGATTGTTAGTGTCCTAGTGTAGTTTCTCGAGCTTCATCTCATTCCATAGTACAAAAGGAAGGGTGATAATGTCACGGATCAGCACGTGTTACTTTTCTTCGAACTTTCCTTCTTTTTTGCAGGCTCGGGACTAGGAGAGCACTTGGCACAGGAAGAAAGTGAGTATGTCATTTACGAAAATGTTTTCCAAAAATATCGAGCGTTTTCATCGTTTTTTTCAAACTTTAAACGACGGGTGGTAGTCGGTAAAGGGGTGGAGGCAGGTGAGCATGCTGATCTCGGAAGATGATATACGCGTATAAATATGTCTGACTTACTGTGGCTGTAAAATGTTTTTTGAGTTGTCTACAGGGCTTATCAAGCGTAGTGTCGCTCGCATCAGCATCTCCACTCCCACGCTGGAGATTCTGCGTCTTTTCCGCGAATAGCTTTCTAACCACTTCCAATCGATTGATGCTCCGCCCTTTCTCATGCTCGCCCCAAGGAAAAGATCAAAGAGCATGTTCGCGCAAGAGATGCAGAGTTCAGCGCGGGAGTGGAGATGCTGATGAAAGCGACACTGCGTTTAATAAGCCCTTAAATTCTAAACTAGCTGTACTGAAGAACGGAAATCAGGCCTATTTTTCACCTTTATTTTGGATAGTACTTCATCTGCACCCTGCATACAATGCCTTATTTTTGGTGTTGTAAATGTAGTATTTTGTAGTACGTACTAAAAAGATATTTGAGACAAAATTCGAAGTCAAATAGTAAAATTTGAATTCTATAATGTCCTCTACAGACAACTGTCTTCTACGGTCAACACGAAATTTTAGTGGAAAGTAGAGCGCACAGCAGAAGAACCAAGATTGAATTCAGTTTAACGAATCCAGTCGTCACGAATCTTTTGTTTATCGAGTTTTCCATGAAGGATGAGTCATAAAAACAAGACCGAAAATGAAACAGGATTTGATTGGGCAGTTTGTCGTTTTCAAGCGATTCCGAAAACCACAATTGGATTGCCTTTATCAGCTTTTATTACCGCTATATACCAACTGTGATTTCAATTTTGAGCACCGATAGAAAAAGCATAACTCTTCTTTCCAAAAGATATCGCATTCGAGATGAACAAACGAGATAAAATTGGGACGAAATGCAAAGATTTAGGTGCAAGAATAGTTTGTCAACCTTATTTAGGGTTAAAAATATTATTGCAATAGCTACCTCTAGGTAAATCGCCTTCGAGCACATAGAGAAAGTAGTCTTCATCTCTTTCTATGACTGAAATCACGTTTTTTCTAAAAACAAAAAGTTTCGTAGCTTCCAAGGATAAGAGAAAATTATCGAGTGTTTTATTCGTCGAGTATGGTTCGTACCCAGTTTCAGGATCGTTACACCTCACTAATAAGAAAAGCGCAACAAGTGTTTTATTCACTCCCTTTGCCGGAGCAATTTAGATACTTCGAACAGCGTATGCACCTTTTCCCGCTTTCTCCTTATTCTAAAAAAAGTGGACTAAAAGATTTTAAAAGCTTACCGCCCTGTTCTCTTATCAATAATTGGTGATATGCGAGTTTGAATGTGTCGTAAAAAATGGCTTGTGTGCCGTTTCGACAAGGATTTGCTATAATTTGGGCTACATGCAAAATACATTGATTGTTTGTTTGAATGGTATAAAATACGCTAACGCGTATATCATTTCATAAGAAAATGAATTACCTTGTATTCATTTTTCCCTTTCTGTTCTTCGCTATCGTTCCTGCCACAACACTAAAGCTCACGGCTTATCAGACGTGCTACAAAGAGTGCAATAACAAAGTGTATGAGGTAAGCGTCCTTCCATTTAGATGGCTACTAATGCAAAGAGAAGAGCAAATCATGGAGTTTAGCAACATTCAATTGAACATTGGTAACTGTAGCCTTACTTTCGCAAGTTCTTGCATGACGCTAGATAAAGTACCGTTCATTATTGCTAGAAAAACATCACCAACTCCCACTGTAAGCGTTGCATCGCCATATCTTGGTTTTGCTTGGAGAAAATCCAAGGGCATCATTCGAAAGTCAAATGCACAAAACCGCCCACATCACAGGCTAAACGTCTAAAAGCGTGTCACGTGCGGCCACCGAATAGCTTAACTCATGGAGCACAACTGCAAAAAGTAACCCGGTGGCCACTGATTTAGCCGCGCCATAGGCTACCGGCTTTAGCCTGAGCAGTATGGGCGATTTCGTGCTGTCGACGTCGTCCATCTGAAGTCAGGCTGAACCAAGAGTCCAGAAATCCAAAACGGCGCTGAAACAAGATGAGATTGGACGACGCTGCTGCGACGCAGATTTCGGTTAACTTCGGTGGAGCTGTGCTTTTTGACAATTATGAGCGGTACTTTATATAAATCACAACTTTTCTCATTTGTTAAAAAACTTCGCATTTGTCTTCCGAAATTTCGCCTTGTTTCCGGCGGCACAGTTACGGAAGATTGCTCACCATCATAAGTGAATACTGAGAAAAAAAGGACTCAAAAGCACCATAGCCTTTCCTTATGCCATGTGTACCCGAATCTGCGTTCGCTGTCTGCATAGATATTATCTAAAAGAAAGTTATGAACGTTTTTCAACAAATTCTTTGATACCAGAAATCGAAAATTATCACTTTTGGCCAGTTGCTAGTTTAACGTCATGAGGCAACATCATTGATGATCCACCATTATATTCAAGCTAACTAGACTGGATATATAAGCGGAAGAAAAGGAAATACCGCAATAAAAAACGGAAGAAAAGAAAATACCGCATTGCCTGTTCTAACTCTGCAGCAGCGCAACTCTGCCATCGGAAAAAAGCACAAACCTGCTAGAAAACGCTTTGCAATTAGCAAGCGTAGATTCGTGGCCAAGTTTTCAAGACGGCTATTTTTGTACACATCGGAAAAGGCTACGGTGACCTCGATTAATTCCCTGTGAAAATTGCATGAAGCTAAAACCGTGGAAGAAGAAAGCAAAGTAGACCTAATTTTCTAACAAGGAGTGCATGTTTACTCGAAGTGACCTTTTTAGATGAGATGTATACCGTAATGAAGGGCATAACATGCTGATTCTGACACTGCATTCCTTATCTGCAGAACATTTATGGACGAAGAGTTATGAGCGCTTATTGGAGCAAAACATTGAATGTGTAAGTAAGACAAAAATGGCAATACTTTTTCTAGCTCTTCAGTGGAACAATGATAATCACCAGAGCACTTTTTTAAAGAAAAACTGCACTAAAATGAAAGATTTATCACACTTAGTTGCGTTATTTGAGGGCAAGTAAGATCTAAGCAACTCATTTTATCCAAAATGCACATTCAATTTTTGGCTCCAGAAAACGCTCATAGTTATGTAGATTACAAAGGCAGTTTTGGAATCAGCGTTCTATGCCCTTTGTTATGGTGTACAACTCATTTAGAAAGGCCACTTTGACTAAACAAGCTTCTTTTATAAGGCCTTCTTTCTGAGAGATCAAAGTGTTGTAATTATTTGCAAATTTATAGGAACCACTAAAATTCGTCAGTAAAAACTCTAAGGCCGAGTTAAAGGACGCAGAGAAGGAGTTTACGTGTTACAAGAGGTGCTATGATCGTCTGACAGACAAAGAGCGTCAGGACAATAAGCAAAGGATCAGTACATTGCCACCAGTTTTGAAAGCGCTCTTGCAGAAAGTGTTGAGGTCAAAGGCAAAGAAATAAGAAACATCACCTTTACGAATTGCAATAAAGACTTCACATGATTAGAATGTGTGTAAAAGTTTTGGTTCTTGAATGATACTATATCCACAACGCTAAAAAAGTAAGACATTATATACGGGGTGCTAAAAAAGTAGTATCCCTCAAAAAAGCTAAGGAAAGAGGCGTGATTTCCAGTTTTTCTAAAATTTCGACATCAATCCCAAAACAAACACGATCTAGCATTTTACCAAATTAACTTAGAACTTGATTATTCAAGAGACAGTTTTAGCCACGTAATGTAGACATAGCACAAGACATTCCTGGTCAAATTCTGTGCAGTAGGCAGGCATTACGATGCGTGTTGGCTGTTTAAACTCCATGCTCAGTGTTGAAACAAGTTCACTGCAAACTACGCTTCTTTAATGAATTCTTTCGGCACTACTATTTGATTCAGGGGCAGGTCTGTAAGTGGAGAGCAAAAATTTCTGGAACACCTTCATACACCTGGGTAGTCAGCTAGCTTTTATGTCATCCTCATGCATCGAGGGGTACCTAGACTGTTTACCGTTTCATGTTCTACGAGGTTGAAGTGGGCGAATGTAAAAACATCAAAAATATTTTTGATTCTGAGTTACAAGCCACAGAGCTACAATTGCTCCCCTTTGAAATAAAGTCCTACCTGCTGGTGTAAAGCCCCCCCCCCCCCCAGAAGTTTCAACCAAAAGTTCCGAAGTGAAGGCTGGACATGGGGAAAACAAAAGGGATGCAATTTCCAGCAGTTATCTCAGCACTCTTTTAACGAATCACATTGAGCATTCAACAATTGGAAAGAGGATGAAATTGCAATACATTCTAAAATGTTCGTTTATCTTGCTGTACGGGATTTGTGGGTCCTCCCAAAAAACTGACAACACTCTTGAACCGACCTGTTATTACAGAAGCATCTAGCTATACGGTCATTTATAGCTTCATTATATTGATTTGCCCGAAAGTTTTTCGGACTTTAGGTGGCGTTTTACATTCCTTTTTATGCTGATTTTTAGACTGAATGAATTATTTATTCAAAGGTTTTGGTAAATTACTAAATTAGTAGGTACTCAGTTTTTAATAGCCTTAAAAATGCAACTGCAGCAAAAAACATAAAAACTCTCAAACGCTTACGGAATCTATAGTAATTATTTATTTGGGAAAGACCGCGGCTTTTTGATCACATTCAACGCATGGGGTACCAAGATTTCCAAAAAGTTCGCTTTATTAGATGATAACCTAAGTCTGCCCCAGAAAACCAAAACAGCTTCACTTATTCAGAAAAGGAGTTTACTTGTGGACAACCTAAAGATATTTGGTTATTTCAAAAATATGTTTTTAAAACTCTGAAATACAAGCCACAGAGCTACAAATAGGCTTAATGGCAAAAGGTTATCTATCTGTTGGTTATCAAAATCCTATCAAAAGTCTATAGAAAAAATTTGAAAATTAGCGAAACTGGACATGGTGAAAACTATAGTTAGAACCAAATATTTTCCGAATATTCGTATTCGAAAGATTTATTCCTACAAGAGAAGTCGAATATTCAAGAAAGTGCATTTATTTGATTATACGAATAATCGAATAAATGAAAAAGACTATTCGAATATTTGTCTATTCGACGAATTGAATAAACAACTTTTTCGAAATTTTATTCGAATATTCGTATATCCGAATAAAATCGAATAATTTGTTTTTTCGATTCGTTGACTAAACAAATATCGAACAGAAGTCTTTTTAATCTATTCGTCTAATCGAATAACCCCTGTGACATCTGTGTACAACACCAATAACCCCTACCTGTGTTCAAGATCTCGCTCCGTTAGCATGGTATACGAAAACGAGTCGACTTCACGATGTTTCACTGCGTCCCCGACAACATTTGCAGATCCCTGCAGCTTAACGATCCTGTTACCAGCTTCCAAACGATAACAGAGTTAAGATTTGTTGCTGTACAACAAGGACGGGTGCAATGTGTAAGCAATGAACATCGCCAATATAAGCCTCCGTACTCATCAAACTCCAATGTGAGGTATCATGTTGATTCATGAACAAGGAATTTATTAGGCCGTTGTTTCATAGGTTTTTTCAATTCTAAGTTTTACTGCAATAAGTCATACTCTTCTCGACTCTTATTAAGATGCAGGGTACTATTCGAAGAGCAGAGTAAGCTTTATCAAATATCGTGTAATTATTAACACCAGCTTTGGCACACATTGAGTTAGAAGCCGAAATTTAAGAACTTTGTATATCCGGAAATTTGCAGGTCTATCGTCCAAACAACTTGCCGAATCTCCCACTCGCTCATGCATTTAAACTCCACATTAAGCATTCATTCATATATGCCGGTTCTGCATTTCTCGTGCTAGAAACTGAAAAAAATGTTATTTTCAGGCTTTTGAAAAAGTGGTCTGTGTTGCTCGCATATAAGTAGTACATTACAAGCTTGTGGAAGTAAAATTGCAGATTTGTAGCTTTCTTACAAGCTCTAGTTTCCGAAGAATTAATTTCTACATGAGAAGGCACTAGCAAGAAAAGCTGATTTTGATATTTCGAGAACTAGAGCTTAATGGAAGCCGAAAATTTGCGTTATCTCTAGAAGCATGTATCAGGTTGTCCTACAATTTTTATAACATTTTCACTTTCTCCCATAATAGCTGGCTAACTCATACTCATCTTGTTTCTCAAACAGGATATGCGATACCCTTTCGATAGAGCAAAGCAGGCTTTAGAAGATAGCATCAAAATTAGCCCGTGTTCTACATAGAGTTCGAAGCCGAAATCTGAGTAAGTCATTTGTCGTAGGCGGAGAATGGAAAAACCTGTCCAAGCTACTGCAAAACCGCGCAAAGTTCAAATTACGTGCGCTGCAATGTCTGTTTTCATTTCATAAACCAAGAAAACAAAAACAGCATTACCTCGACCAGCTACATCACAGAACACAAAGATTTCTCATCATGACGCTAATTTTAGGCGATTTAGGCGTAAAATAAGTGATTTTGTGGAAAGTACCCGTTACAATTGATTCCACGCCTAACTTACGGTAAGACGCGGTGGCTTTAGAAGTAATATTATTATGAGGGCAGTCTATTTGCCATGT